GGTTAATCAGGGCGGCTAACAGCAATAAAATATTACATAAAACAAATTATAGTTCCCTCCCCCCCCCCTTAAACTCATAATTAATCTATCCAACTTCTCCCAGTTTGTTCAATTCCAACTTCAATGATAACCTCTATAGACTCCTGAGATTTCCTTACAAGGTTTTCTGGATTTAGAGATATCTGGCGCACATCAGCAAACTGAATTCTGAACAGGTCAAAATGGATTGATTCAGACAAATATTTCCTCCTCCTCCTCCTCCTCCTCCTCCTCTTTAATGCCCACTGATGCCTACAGTTACTATACGGTGGGAACCAAGAGAAGGACACAACAAACACTAGCATGAACTTCACATGACCTAGTTTTATCTAATGGCTGACAACATCAATGTACAATGGGGAGATTCTGTACTCTGGGGGTTGGGGGTATAATTTTAACAGAAAACCTGCGAGCAAGGAAAAGCTCTGTAGGTCTAAAATGACTCAAGAGGGAAAGGGAGAAAAATGCAGAGGACACAGAAGATAGAAAAGGGCAGGTGAGAGCGGAAAGTATAAATACCTAATATAATTCTTAGCTCTCCTACTGTGGTTGCAGATAAATAATTCAAACCATTTTAAATTTTATTTCTAACCACTCATAAGTAAAAAGAGACTGGGTGCTGACTTGTGACATAATTCATTTTGCGGGCTTGAACAAGATGAGAAATAGAGGGAGCAAAACTACAACCGTGGCAATATCCCACCCCCTTCCCAGTTTATTTTGCTGGATGTTCTTTACAGTTCATGAGAAAGACATCTGCCCTTGGAGAGAAAACAAGAGTGACAACAGTTCTGTAACTCCTAGATCCTCATTGGAGGAGGTCACTGAAAGGAAATGAAAACTGGTTCCACTTCCTGATACAGCATTTAAACTACTTCTGTCCCCCAACACACATACATACACACCTACACACACCCAGATAGTCCTAAAAGCAACAAGACACAAATGCCTAGTCCTGCAAATAAACAAGCAAGGCTATATTTAAGTGTACAGCCAGCAAAACACAACACAGGGAGTTGGAGTCTTCCATTTATTCATTTATTGGCACTTGGGTTAGTGCAAGGCTTCCCAACCTGGGTATGAGACAGAATTCCAGGGGTACAACAAAGATACTGTTTACAATTTTTTTGAATACATTAGAATTGTTCAATTTAGATTTGCATTTTATGCACTGAGTTAAAAGTTTGTATTTTTAACTTCAGTTTGTTCACTCACAGTATTGTGTGTGGTTCAATTTGTGGTTCAAAAATTAGAAATTCGACTACCTCGTCTTCAAATGTGATGTTACTTTTGTAAGGGGTGCAAACGTTAATCAAACATTGGGTAGGGGTGTGGGGCATAGAAAAGGTTGGGAGCCACTGACTTAGTGAAGGCTAGAAACACAGTGACAAAAACGTATTGCAAGAAACAGATTTAAAGCTGGGAGCACTAATCCGGTACCCCGCAAGGCCAGGCTGAGGCACCAGTCATGGTATTTTTCCACCCTCTGAAAATGGATGGAATGATTTCTCCACACGTTTGCATGGCAGGAGAGGAGATGTCCTCCTAAAATCAGCTGAAGAGGGATGGAAGTGGCCCCCCCAGCCCTTATCCCTTGAGGCAACAGGGTGGCCTGACTCAAGATGCTCAAAATAACTAGGAGAAGCCTGCTCCTCAAGAAGCCTTTTAGAGCCATGCTTCTTAAGCTATTTGATGTAGGGGACAAGCAGGTTTCCCCCTGCCCCCCCC